CAAAGTCAAACATCACGCTAAATTGTTTAAGATGCTTGGAAAAATCTTTCGCTTATAGTTTTGTTGTGAAGTGCTGGAAATAGACATCTGTCTTCTTTAATCTATGATTGATAAATAGTTTTCAAAGCGAAAGACAGACTATGAATTGTCAATAATAGAGGAACACCTAGTTTTTAAAGTGGGACACCACTATAACAACTATGTGTTTCCTATCTAACAATGGACAGATTTAATTAAAAAAAACAATATTTAAGAAAAACCTAAAAATTTGAATGGGAAGTAGCGGGTGTGCTTGCACTCATTGCTGAAGGCTACATCCACAACTGATGATAGGCACCATCATTAAGCATGTTCCATAAAATATACACAAAACACACCATCAACAAACACACAGAAGCAAGTGTACACATCTACCAACAAAGTTGAGGAATTACCCTTCCGTTAATGGAATTCAATGCATTCCGAGCATCTGCTTCTGACTCAAAGGTAACAAATCCAAAACCTTTAGGCCTTTGCGTTCTTGGGTCTTCAACAAGCCTCGCTGCTCGCCCAAATTAACAAATCCATATAAATCAATCAATCAAATCAACTACGCCTCAATCCCATATTAATTATAGACCTATTTAACAAATCAGTCACAAAGTACAAATTCCATATTTATAAATAGCTATAAGGCAATCAAGTATAGTAGATAAATGGCGTATTTGGTATAAGGGAAAATGGAAAACAGTTCAATCAAAAGGAGGAAAATGACTTCCCTCACTTATGGCGGAAGTCATTTTTCCACCAACTATCTTCAACTAGCACTAGACTTCATTAATAATCTCTAGTACTCAAAAGTTTCATCAGAACACTCTCCAATTTGCTGATATTATTTATTAATTTTTAATATTATACTCTATAATTTGAAAAATATTTTCCATGACATAAATTTCCTTGGGAAATGACTCTTGTCATACTTAACACACCCTAAATTTCACACTTCCTTATTTTGAGGATAAATTAAATTACATTTCAGACGAAAAAAATAATGATTCAGAATATAGAAATGAGGAAAGGTGAAGTAACCTTCTGTAACAACGCCAAAAGGTGAAAAGAGCTTCTTCAATCTTTCATTCGTAGTGTAAAACGATAATCCTGTTTAAAAGAACAAAAATCGAATGCGTCAGTGTTAGGGTTTTAATAAGGACAACAACAGACAAATAAATCACGATTAATAAGAACAGATAAAATACAATAAATATTTGTGTTTTTGTGTGTGTGTGTGAAATATCGGGAGAGAGAGAGAGTACTGCTGACGAATAGCTGCAATCCTTTTGCCATATGAGTTCCGAGAGCAGCGCTGTATCATCAAGTCAAAGAGGAGAAATTTTATTTTGAGTGAGATTCAACCAACAAAAATTGTATGAGGCACCTCTACCTATTTGACAAGTGGAAATATGGGTCCCACATGTTTCCATCCCCTTATCTCAATTCCCTTTCTCATATTTTTACCAACTTTACGAGATGACAAAATGAAAAAGCAGTCAACTTTTCTCCTCTATCTTCTACTCCTTTTCTAAAAGGAAGGGAACATGTGGATTTTTAGGGTCGTTTGTTCGTGTATGCTTGTCCAAATTCAAGAGTCTAAAAAGAAGAATGACTGGATTTTTCTCTGTGTATTTTAAAATAGAAAAATGATGGGCAAAATATTTTTGCGGGAGAATCATTGATTTTTTGAGATATCTATGCTTTTTAGTTCCTAATTTGTACTTGTCGGATCAATAGTTTGGTTGAAGCTTATTAATCTGACATCTCACTGGTGTGCAGTGATGTAAACTCAACTTCACATTTATCATTTTATTTTAATATTGTTGCTTGGATACAACTTGAATATCTTTAGGTTTGAAGACCTTTTCTTTTGTGATGATATGGGATTCTAGGTTTGAATTTTTACGTGTATTTTATTTTCTGCAATAATCAGGGGTGGCCCTTCCATAAAGCAAGTAAATCAACCGCTTTAGGCCCCATATTTGTCGAGGCCCCATTTTATGTTACAGCTAATAGACTATGTATAAGTTTCAAAAAAGGTTTTGTGAAGTGAAAAAGTTTATTTATTTCTTTAACAAATATAGAGAAGAAGGATTTGCAACTGCTATGATTTCTACTAAGGAAATTGCACTTGAAATGAATATCGAACCCGAATTTCGTAAGAAACGTGTGATATATAGGAAGTAACAATTTGATGTGAATGTTGATAAAGAAATCTCAAAATCTTTTGAAGGGTCCTTTAGAGTTGATTACTTTTATACATAATAGATAATGCTATTTTTTCACTTCAAAATAGATTTGAACAATTCAAAGCATATGAAAATATTTTTGGCTTTCTAGTTGGCAATAAAAATTAAAATCACTAGATGTTGGAAATTTGAAAAAATATTGTCTTAATCTTGAATGTTCCTTAAAGCATAATAATCAATTCGATATTGATGGTTTAAATTTATTTTCTAAATTAAGAGTATTAAGGAAAATAGTACAATTAGAAGATTGCAGTTTAATTGATACACTTAATCAAATAAAAAGATTTAATTCTTTTTCAAATACCTAAATTTCTTATAGAATAATGTTAATAACTCATGTTACCGTTGCTTCAGCGGAAATGAGTTTTCAAAATTAAAATTGATAAAATCTTACCTAAGAACAACAATGTCACAAGAAAGGTTAAATGGATTAGCTATATTGTCAGTTGAGAAATACTTATTAGGAGTTACTGATTATAAGAAAACCATTAATAACTTTGTATCTAAGAAAAGCTAAAAAAAATAGACTTGAAATAAATAATAAAAAAAATAAAAAGTTAAGGCCCCTCAAAAAGTTTGGCTTTAGGCCACAAAATTCGTCGGGCCGCCCCTGGCAATAATTGAAAATTGTTGGATTCTTGGTGGCATATGCTAAATTTGAATCGTTGTTTGAGTTGAAAGTGTTAATTAAAATATTTGATGATTGGATTCTGCGAGACTGCATTGGAGTAGGGGTGAACGTCGGTTCGGTTCGGTTTTGAATATTATCGGTTTTGCCTATCGGTTATCGGTTATCGGTTAATCAGTTATTGATCATTATCGATTCGGTTATCGGTTTACCCGATAAGGTAAAACTAAAATTAAGAGTGTTGAACGCTGAATATTACCTAAAATTAAGAGTGTTGAACGCTAGTATTTGTACAAAGTAATATTTGTACAAAGTTTGGAAGCTGCTATATATGACACTTCAGGGTAAGGACCAAGGAGCGGGTGGGGATTTCAATCCAACAAAAGAAATTCTCAATATACCATTTTCAGTATAAAACTAAAAGCTAAACTACAGCTGAGTAACAATTTTAAAGGTTCCAAAATGAGATTTAAACTTCTATTCAGTATCAAGAATTCAAGATCTTGTGGCAGAACTACAAGCATTTGAAGGCTGTCACAAAGTTGCACATAGAACAACAATTCAAAGCTGCACATAGAAAAATTAAACACATATTGACAACACCCATAATCATATACTCATAATTCTAAAGGAAAAAGCAAAAAAGATTAAATTTTTGCCTCAAACTAAACATACCCAGTGGCCAGTACCTCAATTGCCCACATACAAAGTGCAAACAGCTCAAAACTCCAATCTAATAAAAATAGGAGATAAAAAGATCCCAACTTTCACAATCCAAAAACAGATGGTACACACAGTAATGTCCAAACTCCAAAGTAATAGTTCAAACACATTAATAACAATACAAAGTAGTAGCAACCTTAAGATTAACAAGTTCAAAGTCCAAACATAATACTAATAGTTCAAATTCAAGTAAACAACACAACAACTACTCAATCCTTATAGGCTTCACCAAATTGCGCTCCAAACAACGCTCAACATGCCTCATTTTAAAATCTTAAAATGAAACACATATAACTACACATAAAAAAGGAAAATATGATAACAGAAGGTTTGCTTTCATTACTACAAAGTATTGAACTGCCTCATGCTTCTCTTAGTTTCAATAGAGATAAAGAAACATCATTTCACATATAGTACATGTCACTAATTCTGCGCCAGATGGTAACTAAAGAAGACTTCGCCATATGCTTTTATGGCTTTAATCAAACTGGAAATCTGGAATCATTTTAAAAAGATGTAAATTTAATTTATTTGTTAAAGAATAACATGAGCTGTAAGTCCCAAAATAAGATTTCGCAGTAATTCCATAGCTTTCAGCCATCTAACTCCTATAAGTGATGGTTAAGCAAAAAATTCAAATAGTACTTCAAATGAAGAGATGTAAGGACTGTGATAAACAATCAACTAAGATAAATTCAAACAATCAGTGTAGTATAAATTCAAGAAACCAAACATTTTAGGGAAACCATTTTTCTAGCTTCATAAAAAGGAAAATATGCAAAAATTGATTTCTAAGATACCAAACTAAGACGAATTCAGAAATGGGATATGAAACACTGACCTTAGTGCAATGCTCTGCCGGAAAAAGATATAGAAAACTGAGTCTTGACGGGCTCAGTCGTGGGGGCGTGACCGCGTGAGTCGTGAGGCGGAGAACTGGTGAGGGCTTGACTGCTTGAGCCGTGTGGCCGGTGGCGGACTGGCAGAGAACTGGTGAGGTCTGACTTCTGAGGGTGAGGACTGAGGGTGAGGAACTGAGTGAGTGAGGCGGACAGCGGACTGGCGTCTGGCGACTGGCGACTGGCGGAGAAAGCAAAATTAGTATATGAAAATGAAACCCTACTATTACTAGTATATACTTAAGCCTAAACTAGTAAATTAGTAAAGCTTTATTGGGTTATTGCTTTACCCAATAAGGGAATTGTTAAACCGAGCCCGAACCGATAACCCAATAAAAAAAAAATACTGGTTATCAAACCGTTAACTCAATAACTCAATACCGATAATTCAATAAATAATTAACGGTTCGGATTATCGATTTTACCTGATATATGGCCACGCATGCTTGGAGAAGTAGAGGAACGAAATGCATTTAACTCAAAATTAAAGAGATGATGAAGTTTAGTAAAAGTTGAAAGAAGAAAACGGATTGAATATCACTACTGAGAGAAACATGAGTATAAGTAGGTTAAAAAAAGTAGGGTAGGACCTACTCTTAAGTAAAATAGGGTAAAAAAGATAGAAATGAGATGGTGAAATGGGGAGAAGTTTTATTGTGTGTCTCACACAACTGACATTAGTTGTGTGGGACTCCTTTTTATCTCATAAACTAGTGGACCTCAATCTTATACTTCTGGATCCACAAAAATCTGGGTCCACAAAACCGTGAAACAAAAAAAATACTTCATACAACTAGTGTTAGTTGTATGAGACATAAAATAAAATTTTTCGTGAAATGGAAAACACGTAAGTGTGAGAGAGATAAAAAGAGGGAGCTGACATGTGGGACCCATATTTCCACTTGTCAAATAGGCAGAGGTGCCTCATACAAGTTTTGTTGGTTGAGTCTCAATCAAAATAACTGCAGGTCGGTCACTATTTTAATTGAAATTGCATGTTGGTCCTTTCTTTTCTCATTAATTATTATATGTCCCCGTTTCAGCGTTTTTTCTTCTTCTGCTCTTTCTTTTTTTCTTTTCTTTTTTCACCTTTTTTTTCTTTTAATTTAATGCGATACGAAATCAGTGCTAATAAGGGGAGACATTCTCCAACTTGCTTTCATAAAAATTCCATGTCGCAAATTTATGGCCGCCGATAAGCTTTATTGGCAGATGCGATACATGATTAAACTGAACAATAACATTAGAATTGCTGCTAGTGGAGTCAATATTTATTACATTATGGGTCATTTTAAGTGTGAGCCTCTATGGCAGTTAGAGGATCAGAAAAAAAAAATCGTGTGAGTCAAGGAGATCGCTCTGATACAATATAATGGAGAAGTTTTATTGTGTGCCTCACACAACTGATATTAGTTGTGTGAGACTCTTTTTGTCTCACAAATTTGTGGACCCCGATCTTACATTTCTTGGTCCACAAAACTCTAAGACAAAAAAGATGCATCATACAACTAGTGTCAGTTGTATGAGACACAAAATAATATTTTCCCGTATAATGAATGAGTAAGATGAAACAAAAAATAATAATTTTGTTAAATAATGATGAGTTGATTATATACACAAACAAGTTACAGAGGCCTAGTTAACATACCAGAAAGCAAGAAAAAACTAACTCCTTAAATGATGGGAACAAAATAACAACCTATGCAATAAAACAAAGTAGATACACAAATTTTACAAAGCAGTAACAGTAACTCCTAATATGTTAGGTGTTAATTATTAAATAGTCCTTCGAGTGGCAAGCAGGACGACGAAGATGCCCTTTACTCCCGCTTTAAAATAGTAGGAACTATTACATTATTTCTTTTGGGGGTAAAAACATGTGGTATTCTTTTCTACTACTCTATCTTAACGGCGGTGAAATTACATACTCCTTTTTATAAGAGCCATCAATTATTATTGAGGTTTAGCCGGACACCAAATGCTCCAATCAAGGATTTCCAGCTCCACAAACCAAGTAAAAAATCATGTCACTGGAACTGACTACAAGCAAGCAAGGGGAAGGGAATTATTGTGCAATTAGTAGGGTTGCTCAATAGCTCTTTCCAAATGGACATCTGAGATAACATCAAAACGAGCACAAAACAGATCTGGCCGCGATCTATTTCTGAGATTTTCCTAAGTAATAGCATACAAGTCCAATAGCTAAAATACAAGCTCATCTACGATATTTCAGACAACCAACATTCGATATTTCACCAGGAGGTAAAAATGAAACAAAATTAAATACACTTTATAATGCTGGAAAACAAATTCCCTTGGGGAAGTAAAAGAGCTTTCTGCAAAGACATAATGCTAATTAAATTCCCCCTGATTGTTGAGGATTTCTTAATTTTAGCAGATCAGAATCTTTTCCATGGTCCTTACTGTTGACTGACTTTTTTTTTTTTTTTGCAACAATCTCACAAAGCCAAGATTTGGAGCAACAAAAAACAATCAAAACAGTCTCTCTCTTTCTCTCTAAAAAAAGCCATCTACTTTAAATTTCTGAAATAATCCATAAAATCAAGACTCTGCACATACTTAAATCAAGCATAATTGTTACAGACAATTAACCAACCACCACAATCTCAAATTAGCTTTCAAGCCAAAGCTTGGTGCATTATTGACATCTCCAGCCAACGAAAAACACTTCATGCATTTTTTTTATGAAGTAAGCAGGATATCATTAAAGGCATCAAGAAGATGGAAAAAGATTACAAAACAAAGTTTGTTAGCTCATTTACAGTTGAAGTGCTATAAAACTAGAGAGCCTATAAAGTCCAAAAATACATCAAAAGTAGATATGCAAACAAACCACAGAGCTACGCTAAAAGTAGACATGTGTACAAATAATTTTCAAGACCAACACCAATTTTTTCCTAACATATTCATATCATTGATATAGGATGTCTACTGCTCTCAGCAATTGTGCTTTCACTCATCTCTATTTGTCTACTGGGTACTTTCCCATGTTTTATAAAAAACTATAACATTCTTTTTGATCTGTGTACACAAGTTTAGGGATTACCCTTTTGAACAACATAATGTTCTCAACTGTTATTTTGCACTAAAAACACACACAAAAAGAAAGTTCAGTTGCAGAGGGGTAATAGAAGCATAGATGCGACAATGAGGTCCCAATATTAGATGAGAAGTCAAGAAAGGTAGAGACCACATGGGGTGACTGGTGGCAGTGGCTTAATAGAGGGGAAACAGACAGTTCGTCATCTTGGCGAGCAGCAGGATTGGAGTTTGATATCATAATTTTGTTCTTCAGCTGACAAGTTATGCAAAATATGAGTATACTTTTCTTTTTACCTTTTCTTGTTTTGTTTGTTACCTGCTGAAAATTTCTCATCTCCAAAATAATAATTCATCATTTTGCAGTCCTTATTTTTCTTAAAATGATAACTTCTATAACCTCTTTAGTCTTTACTACAACTTCCCAGTTTCTTATCAATAGCTCAACGACTACCACTACTTAAAGCAATGAAACATCTACGACCAGTGAACTTCAAGAGATTTTGCTCTACCATATTGCTTGCAAAACCAAAAGGAAGACTTGCAACAACAAGAGACTTCCTACTATTCATTTCCACTAAAGAGTTTATGAGACAACTAAGTCAACAAAGGTAGATTATATATCCATAAAATAATTAGATAAAATAAACACCAAAAACAACAACAATAATAGTCGAACATAATGGGATACAGTTCCAAGACCAAACACCGTTTCTCCATAGATTTCTTAGAACCCAGACCCTTTCTAAGTGAAAATTTCTTTAGATGGTTATATTCTTCGCATGTTTCGTTATAAGCCTATTAATGCCCCTAACTTACATTTTCCACCCTTTATCATTATTTTCATTCGAGCAATGATTATCCTGTCTCCAACTGAAAGCATTTGCAGGACCAAGTCCTTTATAACAGTAAATGCAACAATTTGTGCAGGTCGATGATAGCAAAAGTTCACAAAGTCAAACAGCACGCTAAATTGTTTAAGATGCTTGGAAAAATCTTTCGCTTATAGTTTTGCTGTGAAGTGCTGGAAATAGACATCTGCCTTATTTAATCTATGATTGATAGATAGTTTTCTAAGCGAAAGACATACTAAGAATTGTCAATAATAGAGGAACACCTAGTTTTTAAAGTGGGACACTTCTATAACAACTATGTGTTTCCTATCTAACAATGGATAGATTTAATACAAAAATAATATTTAAGAAAAACCTATAAATTTGAATGGGAAGTAGCGGGTGTGCTTGCACTCATTGCTGAAGGCTACATTCACAACTGATGACAGGCACCATCATTAAGCATGTTCCATAAAATATACACAAAACACACCATCAACAAACACACAGAAACAAGTGTACACATTGTCACACCTCCTTTTGGCGCGCCCACCCCGAGGGATAAACACACAAGGGAGTTTTTCCAATTTAAGTGATAATATTCGAAATGAGATTTGTTTATTTATTTCAGAGTCACCACTTGAGATAGGTTTGGCTTTTGGTGTCCCAAGTCACCGGTTTATGTTGAATCCCAATTCAAGGAAAATATTCGACTTTCCAAATGAAGTATGCGAACCAGAAATTCTAAGTAAGGAATTCTGTTGACCCGAGGGAAGGTGTTAGGCACCCCCGGATCCCGTGGTTCTAGCCCGGTCGCTTAAATTATTGTAATGGCTAAAATATCTGATTTTAATACATGTTCAAAACTATAGTGCAATTTTAATTATTTACCGCTTTATTATTATTTTTTAAAGGAATTGCAACGTCGTGAAAACGCGTCTCGAACTACGTCGCAATCAATACACCCGTGGTTGTTGACACATTTCGACTCCGTTAAGATTTGGATTTAGGTCACATATGTGCACCCGAGTTTAGGGAGATAACATTATTAAATACGCGCCTAAAGATACTAACGCGTTATTATTTTGGGAAGGCCGCAAAATTCGCTAAACGACATGTCCTGAAATCTAAGCATTTAAAATAACCATCTATTGAGGCCCCCGCAATTTATGCATTTTATTTGGCGAGGCTCGTCTCATTTTATTAAAGGCAGATCCTAAAGTGACTACGATTTCTACTCTACCTCTTGTCTCTAATAATAAAAGCAATATCCTAATTGATAAATGAGTCGGATTGTACCATGTTAAACTA